TTTTAAGCTCCCATATATGAGTGAGGGCATGCAATATTGGTCCTTCTGTGCTTGGCTTAGTTCACTTAACATAATGGCCTCCAGTTCCATCCATGTTGCTGCAAATGACAGGATTTAATTCTTTTTTATGGCTGAATTATATTCCATTATGTATGTATATTTCTTTATCCATTCACTCATTGATGGGCACTTAGGGTGATTCCATATTTTGGCTATTGTGAATAGTGCTGCAATAAACATGGGAGTGGAGATATTTCTTCCATGTATTGATTTCCTTTATTTTGGATATATACCCACAAGAATTGCTGGATCATATCATAGTTCCAGTTTTACTTTTTTGAGGAACCTCTATTCTGTTCTCCACAGTGGCTGTACTAATTTACATTTCCAGCAGCACTGTATGAGGGTTCCCCTTTGACACCACTTTGTCACCAGCATCTGTTTTTGCCTTTTTTATATAAGCCATTTTAACTGGAGTGAGATGATATCTCATTGTAGTTTTGATTTGCATTTTTCTGATGATTAGTGATGTTGTACAGGTTTTCACATACCAGTTGGCCATTTGTTTGTCTTCTTTTGAGAAATATCTATCGAGATCTTTTGCCAATTTTGAAGTTACATTCTTTGTTGGGTTTTTGTTTTGTTGCTATTGAGTTGTTTGAGCTCCTTATATATTCTGGTTATTAATCCCTTGTCAGATAGAGAGTGTGCAAACGTTTTCTCTCATTATATGGGTTCTCTCTACATTTTGTTGATGTTTTCTTTGCTGTGCAGAAGCTTTTAAGCTTGATGTAATCTCATTTGTCTATTTTTGTTCTGGTTGCCTGTGCTTTTTAGGTCTTACACAAAAAAAATCTTTGTCCAGACCAATATCTTAGAGCATTTACCCAATGTTTTCTTCTAGTAATTTCATAATTTCAGGTCTATAATTCATTTTGATTTGGTTTTTGTGTATGGTGAGAAAGTTCTAATTTTATTTTTTTTGCATGTAGTTATTAAGTTTTCCCAGCATCATTTATTAACGAGACTGTTTTTTCCCATTGTATGTTCTTTATACCTTTGTCACAGATTAGTTGGTTGTATGTGCATGGATTTATATGTGGATTCTCTATTCTGTTCCATTTGTCTATTTCTATGCCAGGACTGTGCTGTTTTGGTACTATAGCTTTGTAGTAAATTTTGAAGTTAGGTAGTGTGATGCCTCCAGCTTTGTTCTTTTTGCTCAGGACTGCTGTGGCTGTGCAGGTTCTTTTGCGGTTTCTTACAAATTTTAGGAATTTTTCGATTTATGTGAAGAATGTCATTGGTATTTTGATAGGAATTGCATTGAATCTGTAAATTGCTTTAGGTAGTACTGTAATTTTAACAATATTAGTTTTTCCAATCCATCATCATGGAATCTCTTTCTGGGTTTTTATGTCCTCTTCAATTTCTTTTATCAGAGTTTTATAGTTTTCCTTGAATAGATATTTTACTTTTTTAGTTAAATTGATTCCTAGGTATTGTATATTTTTGTAGCTATTGTAAAAGGAACTGCTTTCTTGATTTTTACTCAGATTGTTCACTGTTGGCATATATAAATGCTATTGATTTTTGTATGTTGATTTTGCATGCTGCAACTTTACTGATTCAGATCTAACAGCTTTCAGGTGGACTCTTTAGATTTTTCTAGGTATAAGATCATGTAGTCTGCAAACAAAGCTAATTTGACTTCTTCCTTTCCAATTTGGATACCCTTCCTTTCTTCCTCTTGCCTGTTGGCTCTGGCCAGGACTTCCTGTACTATGTAGAATAACAGTGGTGAGAGGGGTTATCCTTGTCTGTTTCAGTCCTTGGAGGAAAGGCCTTCATTTTTTCTGTGTTCAGTATGATGTTGACTGTAGGTTTGTTATATATGGCCTTTATTATTTTGAAATATGTTCCTTCTATATCCATTTTGGTGAGAATTTTTATCATAAAGGAATGTTGAATTTTATCAAATGCTGTTTCAGCATCTATTGAAATAAGTATACCATTTCTGTTAATGACTTATAATATTTAGATTGTTTTTAAAGACATAGGAAATGGGTTAGATCTCCTAAAGAGGGAAGATGGAAAGAGAATGAAAGAGGGTCCAGAATATAGCCCTGGGGATTTCCAGCACTTATGGTGGAGGGAAAGGAGACATCAGAGGAAACTCAGAGTGGCCAGGTAGAAAGGGAGGAAAAAGCTTAATAAGGTGGTATCATGAGAAGAGAGTCTTTCTGGAAGGAGAAATGCTTACTCTTGATAACAACTGAAAAATAGGGTGAGTCCACATTAGAATCCTCGCTACTGGGGAGGACTTTCTACACAAGGTTAGAGATCACTTGTATTTTATCTACTATAATTTTAGTCCATAATGCATTTTCTGGCACATAGTGGGCACTTGATAAGTATTCATTCAATGACATTTAGTAATTGAGTGCCCAAATATTTATGTCGGGTTGAGAGCTAGGGATAGGCATGAGTCTTTCTTCAACATCCTTCTGATTAGAGAGATAGCAGTATCTTCAGTTTATTTTAAAGCATCATGAAACACACTTTATTCCTGCTAACATTAGGAAAAGCGAGCTGTTTTCTAAGCCTTGGAGGAAGGAAATTCAGCTAACATGTGAGATAATGTAGGGTGGCTATTTCTCGAAAGGTAGTGAATCATAGCTATAACCATAACTGTGGAAAAAAGTCCTGCCTTATCAACCACTCCATTGACTGCTAGTCACCAAAACTACGCTATGAAACAAATTGTGTTGAGTGGCTTTCATTGTAAAAGACTTTGGTGAAGGGAGGGAAAGAAACTGGTAGGGGTTCAGATCAGAAGATCTGGCTTTGCCAGTTTCTGGAGGGTGTCAGAATGGCTTCAATATACCTACGTCCTTGGCCTCAACTGGAGGTTTTGTAGATGCAAACAAGAAGGATTGCGTAGTTCAGAATAACGACAATGTAAGCTAATTGTGGAACTGGGTTAAAATCAGCATGTAGATCTACTAAGAAACACACTCAGCACTACTGCAGAGAGAAACATCAGAACCATTCTCCACAGGCCCATCATTTCTGGAAGCCATTTCATTTTTACAATAGATTTATCACACACCATATTGACTTTTTACTGTAAAGAGAAAGTTAATATTCCTCATATTTTGTCTGTTGACAGAGTGAAAATAATTGCATTGGGTTTGGCTAGAATATCCTGTCATTCCAAAAATATCTCAAACTCCACATGGCTAAAACTTAACCCATCAATGCCCCCATCTACATGCTTGCATACATGCATATTACTTCATTTCTCAGTGTTTTTTTCTCTGTGAATGGTATCACCACACACCCAGTTCCCAAATCCAAAACTGCCCTGGGGATTTTCAACAATTACGGTGGAAGAAGCCAGCAGAGGAGACTCAGAGTGCCCAGATAGGAAGGGAGGAGAAAAAAGTTCAATAAAGTGGTGCCCTGAGAGGAGAGTCTTTCAAGAAAGAGAAATACTTCCCCTTGGGCTTATCCTCTATTTATTGTTGCAGGGGCTTCCAAAATTAGGTTTTCTGTGTTCAGTCTTGCGTTCACACTTCTGAAACCCAGAGCTGACCCAGTCAAATTCCTCAACTTCCTGTCAGCCCCAACATAGATTTAAAATTCCTAACCTGGCTTATGAGGTTCACCATGTATTCCTGCTTCTCTAAGTCAGGCTCATATCACACCAATCTGTGTGTGGGGTGGCTAAATACACTAGCCAGGGAAGCTCTTTCAGTTCTTCTACCTGGCCCCGCTGGAGCCCTCCTTATTGCTCATTCCGTTCTTAGCCTGATTCAAGATTCCTGGTCCTTCACATCTCTCTTTACGTGTCCTCACCTGGAACTTTCTCTAGTTAGTACAAATTTTCTATCTACCATTGGAGCAAACATTTTTTGAAAGTTTGTATCAGTCCTGCCTTACTCTTGGTGGAATCCTGTGGTCCTAGCCAAGTGCCTGCTCCATTAATGTGCTGAATAAATGAATAAGCATTTTAATTATGTATCTGTCGTTAGTGTCAGATGTGTTATTCCAGCAGGGTTTTAGCACACAGACACACTCTTTGATGCAGACTTTTCCTGTGTTTTCTTTTTACATATAGCAACAATAAAAAAACTAGACCTTCATCTCCTGAAAATATCAGTCTAATAATCACCTATGACTGTCTCTCTGGTTGCTGAAGGGAAAAAAACAAAACAAAACGAAACAAAAACAAACAAAAAAAATCCAGGGCACACCTGGATTGCATTAGAATGAAACTCACTACCCAGTTCAGGTGTGTTGCGTCATGGGTCTCCGGCACATTTCAGAGGCTCATTAGGACCCTGACCCCACACTGGAGTTTACACCCCTAATAGCAGCTGTGTCCCGTGGCAACTGAGTGGGTGCGTGAAAAGGGGATAATCAAGAACCAGCTGGAGCAATCAGAATCGGTTAAAGTGAATCAAGTCACAGTGCTTCCTTAACCCAACCTCTCTGTTGGGGTCGGCCACAGCCTATAACCGCCTGCTATTCAACCTGAGCGGCTGCTGCTCGCCTGCTCAGGCACACAGCCCGGGGTGCAGAGGAAGTGTGGGGAGGAAGGAAGTGGGCATAGAAGGGTGCCCAGTGTGGGTCTTGAAGAGAATAGCCATAACGTCTCTGTCACCAAAATGTTCCCCAGGAGCCTTCGGCGAGTTTTTTGGGGTTTTGTTTTTAATTTGTGGCTCTTGATAATTTATCTAGTGGTTGCCTACATCTGAAAAACAAGACAGTGCTTGACTCTCAACCAAAGAACTGGACGGCTCCCCGCCGCAGTCCCAGTCCCCGAGTTTGTGGCTGGCATTTGGGCCACGCCGGGCTGCCTGCTAGAGGCTGGGCGGTCACAGCGAGGGGGACGCGGTTTGGGGCCACACAGCTCCGCTTCTAGGCCCCAACTACTGTTAAAAGGGGAAGCCCGTGCTCCATCTAGGTCCGCTCTTACTGAGCCCAGAGCCATCCCGCGCTCTGCGGGCTGGGAGGTCGGGCCGAGACGCGCGTCCTGCGCAGCCGAGGCTCCCCAGCGCCCCCTGCAGCCGCGCGTAAGGGGAGACGGGGCCCGGCCCTGCGCCTCCGCACCACACCCGGGACCCCACCCAGCGGCCCATACCCGGAGAATCAGCGCGAGAACCCGAAGCTCCCGGCGAGCGGCAGAAACCGGGAGTGGGGCCGGGCGAGTGCGCGGCATCCCAGGCCAGCCGAATCGCTCCGCCCGCGGTGGGCCGACTTCCCCTCCTCTTCCCTCCCTCCTTCCTTTCCTGTAGCCCGCCGGCGCCGGACACGCTGCGCCTCATCTCTTGGGGCGTTCTTCCCCGTTGGCCAACCGTCGCATCCCGTGCAACTTTGGGGTAGTGGCCGTTTAGTGTTGAATGTTCCCCACCGACAGCGCATGGCTTGGGAAGCGAGGCGCGAACCTGGTCCCCGAAGGGCCGCCCTCCGGGAGACGGTGATGTTGTTGCTGTGCCTGGGGGTCCCGACCGGCCGCCCCTACAACGTGGACACTGAGAGCGCGCTGCTTTACCAGGGCCCCCCCAACACGCTGTTCGGCTACTCGGTCGTGCTGCACAGCCAAGGGGCGAACAGATGGTGAGTAGAGTTGGACCAATGAGCCCTCAGCAGCTCAGAGCGGCGTGAGAACGGCGCCCAAGGGATTCCCTGCCCGGTTCAAACTTTTCTCCCTCCCAAGGAGGCAGGAGGGAAACGCTGCGAGTGCCAGCTCGCTGGAGATCTGCCAGGGAAACTAACTTATCTTGGGGTGGCAGCACCCCGGGGTGCGTTCTGGCGCAAGACCTTGGAGCTTCGAGTCGGGGGTGGTGGGCGGAAGAGGAGGTGGGAAAGCTGCCCTGCTGCCGACTGCACATCTGTTCCGACAGGGAGCTCAGTGGGCAGCACAGCTCACGTCTGAGCGCACGTGCACGTGTCTCTTTAGGCTCGTGGTGGGTGCGCCCACTGCCAACTGGCTCGCCAACGCTTCAGTGATCAATCCCGGGGCGATTTACAGATGCAGGATCGGGAAGAATCCCGGCCGGACGTGCGAACAGCTCCAGCTGGGTGAGTTGGGTGTGGAACCAGGAGTTAGTGACCCCCCGACCCCCCATGTGGACCCCACCATAGGGCAAGTCCTGGAAAGATTCAAGTCGCCTGTTACTTCTCGTTTAAAGAGCCTAAAGTTTTCAGTTTCAACTCCGTCTCATCTTCCCTCCTTAATGTAAAAGGGATTCCCTTTCTGTTAATATCGTTCTCCCTTCTCCTTATGGCAATGATTGCAGTACGCTGACCAAAACTATGGTAGAGGGAAATTTCTTAGGATACTTTCTTTTCATCTCTCCCCCGTCTCTCCGTGTGTAAAGCACATTTTAGCGTGTCTCAGCATATTAAGGATAGAATCCAGCTAAGCCAAGACTTGAGAATTTTATTTCCATCTTTGTCCTATCAACCTTCTTAAAGAACAGGCTAAAGGGCATATCAGGAATAGCAATTGGAATTGATCCCATATCCCGTCGTTCAACCTAAAGGTCTAAAGAAAAAAAGTGCTAGTTTTATTTAGAATATGCAATGTAAAAGAAAAGGAAAGTTGGCATCTTCATTGTTAATGTAGTATAATTTTCCACTCCCAAAACCATCATCCAAAACTCTCATGTTATATGGGTCCATCTTATTGCAGTCATTTCTCAATGTCTCAGATTTGTGACAAGTTGAAAAATGTGTACTGATAGAGGGGAGAAGTTGCATGTTTCAGACAAGTTTCTTGCACACAGACAAGTGGGGAAAGAGGAACGAATATTAAATAACAAGACTTATTCCAAAATGTTACTGCTATACATATTGCTTAATTTTTTACCCTCAAAGCAACCCTGGGTCATGGTTGACATTGTTCCTAGTTTATGTATGAGGACTGTGGCTCAGAGTTGCAAATACCTTTTTAAAAGTTATGAGCTAGTGAGTGATAGGTGGGAACTAAAGTCACACTAGGGTCTGAATGGGTCCAAAGTCTAAGCCATTTTCTTCCATGTATGCATCTTCAATGCAAATAAAATTAAGTGAATGGTTTAATATGTTGCCTGCTGAGCTGGTGGGTCATCTGTAAATGGTGAATAAAATTGGTACTTTATATTTCTTTGCTGTAAAGGGACTTTTGGGATTGGTTATTGGATCTTTAACTTCTTTTGCATTTTATAGTAGTCTTTGCTCTTTTTCAAACAGCGAAGCTGGTTCCTTTCTTTCGAATGAATTCAAATAGAGTATAAACATAATGGAATGTTTACTTTTAACTTCGAACACCTATAAAAGTCCACGAGTTGTCTGTAGCATGTAGAATAAGCCCTAGCCTCTTGTTAAGCATCCTCAATACCAGAAATCACAGTAGGAATGTATAAAACATTCACAGACCCATACATTTGGAATGATTTTGCAAAGCATAATTTTCATTGCATGAGAGAGTTGTGGGTGAAGAATTAGGGAGTGGAGCTGACAACTTTAATCTGCCAGAGGATCTTGGCAAGGTCTCAGGAGGGAGCAATTTTATTTCTGTTGTCCTGTCATAGTTTCCTGATCCATGACATTATAACTACTGGTATTTAGTGTCTACTTCCTGTCTGGATGGACACGGAATCTATTTCTGGATGTCTGTGTTTAATTGGATACATCATGACATAATATATTAAATTTAAGATGATGCCTGTCCATGGAAGGGAAAAATTGGGCATGTGTAGCATGGGGGTTGACTGTTCTCAGAGAAATGTAAACATGATCGATATGTAATAGGAATTAAATGAAGATTTTTTTTGGATGGATGAATGAATAAAAGTAGAGGAAAAGTTTATTAACCAGATTTATGAGTAAGATAATTGATTAGAAATGTGCCAAACTGATATTTTTAACTTTCAAAATTTTGACCAATCTACAGGGTACTTACTGAGATGAAAGGAAAAAAGACAAGATTACTGGTCAATCAATGAGTTAAAACATTAACAGCGATAGTAATGCCTTGAGTATTTGCTGAAGAGTTGACTGAAGTTATTTCTCATGTGACATTCTAAAGAATACACATATCTTTTATTCTTCATGTAAAGAAACTGCCTCTTTCTATTCAGAATAAATTCAGTGGTAGCTTAAAGGTATAAAATAGGGATTGAGGCTACAGTCTAGAAATAAAACACTGAAAACATTACGTTGGTAATAAACATATTTTAGGGTTATTAGGTTTGTGGGCTGTGCACTATTTTGTATGAAGAAGTTTCAAGAGTATGTGTAAATATAGATAAGCCATCTTCTGTAGAAGTGTGTGTGCATGCGTGTGTGTATGTGTGAATCTTCTGTATAAAATAGCTTCAGTTGTCCTGTTTCAAATGTGGGTGACTCTAATGTTGCGAAAATGCTTAGCTCGGTACTGACACATAATAGACATTCAAAAAATAGCGGTTCTTCTTTATTGTTTACTTAAATCTATTATCTGTATGTTATCTGTAATAAGCAGGTTGAGGTTAATAGGGACAATTAATAAACTGAACCAAAAGTTTAAAAATTAAAAGGTAATACATTAAAAGGTAGAAGTTGAGGCCGGGCGCGGTGGCTCAAGCCTGTAATCCCAGCACTTTGGGAGGCCCAGACGGGTGGATCACGAGGTCAGGAGATCGAAACCATTCTGGCTGGCACGGTGAAACCCTGTCTCTACTAAAAATAACAAAAAATTAGCTGGGTGTGGTGGCAGACGCCTGTAGTCCCAGCTACTCGGGAGGCTGAGGCAGGAGAATGGCGTGAATCCGGGAGGCGGAGCTTGCAGTGAGCCAAGATCGTGCCACTGCCCTCCAGCCTGGGCGACAGAGAGAGACTCCGTCTCAAAAAAAAAAAAAAAAAAAAAAAAAAAAAGGTAGAAGTTGAAATGACACACAATGAGAAATATTTTGTTGGCTGAAGGAAAAAATGTTATAATGACTAAAGATTGATCTATGATTGCCATGTCAGTAAGGTATCTTCTTTCCTTTGGAATAGCTTTACTTGCTATCAAGAATCTGAAGGTGTAGGGTCTTCAAATGGCGCCCATCTCCCATGCAATTAAAAATATCCACATGTACTCGTCTTTGAGTCTCTGTAGAATTTCAGATCAATGGTTAATTCAGATAGACCCCACCCCTCAAAAGAGGAGGTCCGTATCTCCCCCACCCTACCCTCTGTGGACAAGTTGTCCCATACCATGGTATATTCGTGCCGCAAGCAGAAATGAGCCTGCTCATTTATCTAGAATGCCCAGGGTGAGAGACGTTAGGCGAGTACAAGGTGCTTTTCTTCCTGTATATATATTGTTGGCCGCCTCCTACCTCCCTGACTCCCCGAGACATCTCTTCTCTCACTTCTTTTGTACCAGAGGAAAGTCGTGTCTCTGTCAGGAGGGTCTGGGCCCAGACTTGCTCATGAAGACTATGTCTGAGGAGACCCAGGTGATTTCCACAGGTCCACCTTCCACCCGGGTACTCTGCATCATCAGGCTTGTTTAAAGGAAACTTTAATCATAGCTGGTTCTTAAATTAAGGTGTCACAAATAATGACTCAATTAATATAGTTAAGCATAGTCCATCTGTGGACTATCAATATTTAAATAATTAGAACATAATAAAACATAAAAATGATTATCAAATTACACTAAAAAGATGGTCTTTATTTGGTTATTCGAAAAACACTCCAGATCTTTCATTACTTTGGAGTTACCACTGAAAGCATTATACACACACTGACTCTCATTTGGGTAATAGTCTAAAGTTATACAATTACGCTATCCAGTATAGTATCCACTAACCATAAGTGGCTTTGAACACACAAAATGTGGCTAGTCAGCAGTGAGAGAGCTGTAATGTAAATTACATACTGGCTTTTGAATACTTAGTAGAAGACAACTCATTAATTTTCATGATATTAATTATATATTGAAACAAACATTTTAAAATTATTGATTACATAATATTTTGGATTTATTAGGCTAAATAAAATATCAGGTTAAATAAAATTTTATTTTTTTTAATGTGGCTACTATAAAATTTAAAATTTCCAATGGACTTGTATTGTATTTCTATTGGACGGCACTGCTGTAGAGAAACATTAAGTTCCCTCTGTAAAATAACACTAACTTTTTAGGAGATACTTTCCTGGTATTTATGCATAAATGAGTAGAACTTTCACTTTCTTTTCCAGACTAAGTGTTCTATAGTTACTGGGCCTTCAAGCTGCCTGCCTGTGCCTCTTTCTTACAGAAGAGACCCATCTCAAGTTAGTCACCATTACCCATATTTAGATTTCTTTCTGGAAATTTTATTACCTTAGCCAGCCTCCTGGTTCATATTATATAACCTATTTGAAAGAATTTAATTAGCATTGCATTATTAAACTAATGATTACCTAATCCTCACTTCTACTTGATTCATAGGAGTTATTAGCTTAACATTAAATAGCAAATATCTCACTGTTGAAACTTCAAATATGTTTTTTCTTGATAACTTTTAATTTTTTCATTTGCAATGTGCTTTAAATTGTATCTTATGAAGCTGAGATTGCAGATTGGTCATTTTGAAAAATCATCCTGAATGAAGGCTGTTATACAATTATGTAGAAAAGACGGAGAGCTTCATTAATAAACTATCAGGTTACTGGAAAGAAGTTTCCTTATTTCCAGCAGTTTCCCAAACTTTATCTCCAAAAGGATGAGGTTTCCACCTAATTTGAGAGATGAGACTTTCTAAATGCATGTTAGTTTTTGCCCTAAGTTTACTTGGTCACCAAGTGATATACCCAATGACTTGAAAATAGATGCCCTTGGCCACGGTTGTAAGGCCAGATGTGGAAATCCATTGCACACATGGGTGATTTATCCATTCCGTTGTTCATTGAGGAATGCCTAAGGGCCAGAACCTGGGCCTGCAAAAGAAACATACTCCTTGTCGCAAGGGCTTTAAAGTTTATAAGATAGGTTATTTATAGGAAAGTATGGTGAGATTTAATCTAGGTAAGACAATAAAGGGATGCATTCCTGAGGAATTGGTGTTCAAGTAGGGGAACTGAAA